GGAAAAAAGCAAAGAAAAACAGGGGCGTCATTACGGGCCGGCCCATTACGGCCTGCTTGAACCCTGGTCTCTCAAATGTTTTGTTTTTACATCATGAACCTTTTATGATTTCTCAAATGTTTTTTGAATTCACAAACATTTTATGGTGTATCTGTATATTTTCTCAGTACGCGCAACTTTTTTGAAATTTGTTTTTTTTTAAATCCCAAGAATGAAAAACAGGAAAAAAATGAGAAAGGAAAAAAGCAAAAGAAAAACTGTGGTGCCATTACGGCCTGCTATTTATGATTTCTCAAATGTTTTTTGAATTTACAAACATTTTATGATGTATCTGTATATTTTCTCAGTACGCGCAACTTTTTTGAAATTTGTTTTTTTTGAAAATTCCAGAGTGATTTAAAGAACGAAAAACAGGAAAAAATGAGAAAGGAAAAAAGCAAAGAAAAACAGGGGCGTCATTACGGGCCGGCCCATTACGGCCTGCTTGAACCCTGGTCTCCCGTGCAGAAAAGGGGAGAAAAAGGGTGTGCGAGCAGGGATCGAACCTTGGTCTCCCATGCGGAAGGCTTCGACCTTAGCCACTACGCTGGCTTCCTGCAAGTGTAATGTAGTTGTATTGATTGTCCTATAAGACTAAATTTGACGGTGATTTTTTTTCAAAACGAATCGTTTTCTTTACTTACTGGTGGCATGGTGGGTAAATAGGGTCAACTTCAGGGGCAATTTATATGACGGACGACCAGAAACCCAATTCTCTTTATTATTAGGTAAAGAGGTAAAGATAAAGATAAAGATCTGTATCCCAAGTCAGTAGATACCCTTACTAACTAAGCAACCATCTAAACTTTATCTCCTTAATTCAGCAGCCATCATTCTATTCACGTGAACAGTAACTCCTACTGCACCATTGGGCCTTGGCCCAATACCCAGTATAATACTATCCAGCATGATTGTATGCTGAAAAAAAAAACATAGAAGGCACAACAAGATTCAAACAGTAGCAACAACACAAAAGCCTGTAGTCGCAAGAAAGTTGGTGCAGGCTGGAAAACAAGATTTAAGGTTAACTGGAAATGCAATCCTGCAGCTAGCAGGAAGCCACAATTTGAGTCCTGGAAGTAGAACAATAGAAAGGCTACCGTCAGTTTATGAACATGTTCGAGGAACAATTTAACAGAAGGGTATAAATGCTGGTTGCATGACTTGGGTCTTTTCTGGAAGCAGATGATGTCACCATTTTCAATCTGAAGAACGGGAGTGAAGAAAGTAAGTACTTGGGCTTAGGAGTAAGTGGAAAAGCAAAAAAACATGTATAACAAAACCAGACCTGGTTGACTGTAAAGGTATGATGAATGTCTAAGGCTTCACACATCACATTTGGTTCGAATTTGATTTCCTGAATGTAAAAGTGAGAAACTAGTGAGATATGGTGCAAAACCGTATCCATCAGACATTAGGAGTAGCAGCTTGCACTTGTGCAAAATCTGACCTCATACAATTCTATTTCCTCGTCTGCACAAAAACCAGCTAAACTTCTTAGTTTTGGGAGAATATCTAAAGGCCTTGATGAACAACTCACAAACAGCGTTCCGATATATCTGCGTGTCACATTCACAAGAACAAGATATAAGTAAGAATTTCCAATTGCTAAAAAGGAGAAAATAATGAATTTGAAGTAAGTGCTGACCGCAGCTGTGTTTGTTCTGGGTCATAGAACTTTAAAAACACCAATAGATATTCCCTGTTTAGATTTCGTGGAGAACAAGGATTGAGCACCTACAAGGAAATAATATTGAGGGAACTTCATAAATACAAAGATCACTGGATGGAACAAGAAAGGTCCTTTCACAAACAGCAAGGCCACAAAGGAAATGATAGAACTAGCAGGGATCTGTGGGCTTTAGGATCTACCTCCAAAAACAGCTTCACATCAGCCGAAAAAACCCTTCCGATCTACAAGGGTGATTATTTATATTTTAGCATGTCATGAAGAAAATGGAATTATCTTTGCGCAGGAGGCAATATCAGAACACAACATTGTTCGTTTGACATCCTTCAATAAAAAGAACATAAGACGATCACATTGCATACTTACAGATAGTTTCTTTTCTTTGGAATTCAATGGTCTGCTAGGGCGGCGTGTTCCGTTTTGCCGTCGCTGGCACAACCAGAGGCGTTGAAACTTAACAGGGGTACCAAGTTCTTTTGCGAGTTCCTCCTGTGCACGATTTAACCAATCAGTATTCTGAACTCATTATGAACTATGAGAAACAATAGGCTAGAGGAATAAACAGAGAGACACTTTTATCTGCTTAAGCAAGTTATATCTAGAGGCAGCACAAAATCATAAGTACATCATTCTATCTTACAAGGAGTGAAGGTATACATCAGATGGAAACTTCAATCATCTGGATATTTTAAAAAGTTAAAAAGGAAACTTTACTCCAGGGGCAATTTTAAGTTAATAAATAAATAACACAGTGAAGGCTAACAGTAAGAAGCATTTAAAAGAATGGAGCTGGAGTAAGGCGTGAGGAATCCTCATGCATGGTTCATGAACAAACGGGTATCTTGGTAGTTTTCCCACAGTTGGCACTGTCATGAAATGGAGTAGGGTACTAGGGTCGTTAGTGATGTACTTATGACTCTAATCAGGTCTTGGTAGTTTTCCTATCGTTGACCTTTTTTTATACAGGCATTTTCAGTCCAGCCACCAATTAAACAAGCTCTCATGACCTAGGAAGCATCTAGTTTGTTACATAGCATCACCGGAATAAATCCACTGTTGACCTTTGGAAGTGATTCTTAGCAATGGCAGGTGCAACATTTCTCCAACTCCTGTGGCATTTAAGCCATTCCTAAAAAGGCCTGATTAGAGTCAATATAGCAAGCTCATGATCATTTATGTTTAATTTCTGAGCTAGAAGCTAAATAGAATTATAGAACCATGATATATAAGAATAAGAGAATTATTTATGATGCAGTGTTAAGCTTGCCAAGTAATTAGCAAATATGTAGAATCTTAGCTAAGTACACCAAGTGCAAGAGCTACTTGAGACCTGGAAAGAACCTACCACTTTTGTAGCACAACCAGAAGATAAATTGATATCACTAGACCTACATTAAGTTCGCACATTACATGAGATATTCAGGGAAGGCACAAGCTTGAACCATTCAAATTGGTCATTAACAGAATAATATGGGATGCAAACAATACAACAGAACAATCTATTTCTCACATGCTTTCAAGGGCTCATTAGCCTTCCTATATTTGATTCAGTGGAGATGAACAGACCTCATACAGGAATAAGAGGACTAGAAATTTAACCAAAAAAACACGTCTACGAGGTATTTCAGCACATAATGGAGGTTGGCATCTCATTTCAAAGATAAAAGTAGGTCCGTCTGAAGGTCAGATAAAAAGGACAGGACACAAAGCACTAAACGTTTTTGAAGGATGATTTTAGTCCGTGTGGATTGGTATTATTCCTTGATGAAAAATATATTATGTGAACCTGTCATACGTTTCGAAACAAGATTAGCACTAGAAGTGATTTTTGGAAGAATGTTCAGACGTAGATGGAAGATCTTGAGTTCCTCAGTTGGCACGTGCAGTCAGGAACAGAAACAACAGGTTGTCCTTTACTACTTTCGGTGGTCAAACTGTAATTGCATAATGAGTACCACAATAAACTAAAAAATATATGATGACATATAGAAACTAAATAAATTGCACGGTACAAGTCTGCAGCCACCCAAACCTATTTTTATACTGAACTAAAGCAAGGTGGAAATTTTTGGAACGGCTGCACTGTTGATTTCCTCAATTGACTTGCATTAATTATGAAATAACACTTCACACGAAAATGGACTGAATTGTTCAGCAGAGAGAATACAGCTCTGCACACTGAAAGTAGAGCACAAAACCAGAACCCGAAGTCGCTGAAATATTTTCAAGGCACCATATATGACACCAACACAAAAATACTATCTCGCGTAGCAGATTTTTTTTTAAAGGAAAACAAAAATATGCCAAGGGACGTCAATTGCTACTTAATTGAGAAGTCATCTGCCTCGATGCCGTATAATTGCTTATATCTGAGGATTCATTCTCATATCCTAAAATTGGTAAGACCTGTTACAGTTTGGAGGACTTAGCGTCTCCAAACACTAGAAACCAGTAGGTCCGGGCACTTAAAATCTCACAGATCGATCTCTGAAAAGTAAAATTAAGGACCCAGTAACCCAATTTGTACTACAAGGATGTCGGGAGTTGGTTGAAGAACGCAGGATGTGGATATATACCATGAAAAGGATTACGGTGGTGTCAGCCGGGACCTGGAAAGCCCGCACTCTGTCGAAGTCGACGAGATCAAAATAGAAGCCCCCGCTCCCAATCTGCGACCGCAAATCTTCATCCCTCGCCACCTGGAAGAGACGAAGCCCAATTATCAGGATCGGAGCCAACCCCCATGCTCTTGCTCTGCACAGATGGCCACCCGGTTCGGTTTACCCGCGAAGTAAAGCTGCGGCCGGGAAGGGAGCAAGAGCATACCTTGATAGTTCGATGATCCTGCGCCTGTCGTGGGGCTCCCGTAGTGCGCGTGGGCACTGTTGGGGTTTTTGGCCGGCGCTGCGCGCTGCGGCCGCGGGTTGTTGCCGCTGAAAAGGGAAACGTACCGAATTGTGTTTCTTTTTTGTTGATGAGAAAGCCCGAATTGTGTACGGGAGCCAAGAAAAAAAAATGAGGGGAAGTAAACGGGGCTGGGCCTAGATGAGAGAGGGGGGCTCCAATGGGGCCTAACTGATAGCTCAGCCCGTTTAATATTTCCGGTCACGGGTCCGATCCAGCCGCCTGCTTCGACTTCTCTTCTCTTCACAAGTCACAAGGAAGAAAGGATACAGGGAGAGAGGGCCACACCACCATCCCCAGCCGCAGCCGAGCCGAGGTTTTCCTCCGACGAGCGAAACCAAGCCGCATCACCCCCCCACGCGCACCAATGGACGCGACCGCGGCGGCGGCCGGAGGAGGAGATGGGACGCAGAGGACACTGTAAGCACTCTCCCGATTCCTCCGATCTGGATTTCCCCCTTGCTTGTCTGTCTGTTCCGGTGCTCGCGTCGCCCGGCGGCGGGGCCCGATCCAGAGGCTCGACTACGGGGCGCCCGGTCCGGAGGGTCGACGCCGGCGCCCCTCTGCTGGGCGGATCTAGGGGAAGGAACAAGGGGGAGAGGAAACTAGGGTTTTGCCAGCGGCGATACGATTTAGAATGCGATGTGGGACGATGCGTTATCCGTGAGAACCTGCTAGCGGAGCTTGCTCTGCGAAGCTTCTTATGCATTGACAGTATGGATGAATCTGCTAGTTAGTCTCAACTCATGGAATATTCCAGCTCATGACGAACCAGCCCAACAGTTACAAATGCCTTTTACATGCATTTATTTGTGTGAACTTGTTATCACATCTTGTTGTCTGATTTTTTTTTACTTTGATAGAATGGATGCATTTTTTGGTGTTAGTACAGGAGCTTCTCATCTGTATCAGCTTATGTTAACCAGCCCAACAGATTATTCTGTAATTGTACAAGATGGTCATAACAATTGTGTGTGTGTGTGTTAATTGTTTTTCTTTATCAAAATACATTCATTGGCCAAGTTGTCCCCTTAGTGTGCACCGGCACTTTTTTCATGGTGCTGTTGTGTCTTTCAGTAAATTTGTACATGCACGTGATTAACTCATGATGCCTTATTGCATCACCAGGAACCCTTATGTGACTGGTAACTCGGTGATTGCAATGAAATACAAGGATGGTGTGATCATGGCATGTGATACTGGAGGTTAGTTGTCACTTCTTCTGCACAGGTAAATATAGCTCCGGCGGTATGGAGGTCATTATATACTTTCTTGTGCTGCAGCCTCCTATGGGTCAACTTTGCGATACAAGAGTGTGGAGCGTATCAAGGCGGTTGGAAAGCATAGCCTTATTGGAGGGAGTGGGGAGTTCAGTGATTTCCAGGAGATTTTGCGCTATCTGGATGAATTAACGTAAGTTGCCTTTAATGGTGGTTAGATCATGTTTTCCTTCTCTCTGCTATGTATAATCCATGTGACATCTTCATTCACTTCATTTTCAGTTTGAATGATCATATGTGGGATGATGGGAACTCATTGGGCCCCAAGGAAATCCATGCCTACCTGACAAGAGTAATGTACAACAGGCGCAATAAGTTTGACCCTCTATGGAACTCCCTGGTGCTTGGTGGAGTGAAAAAGGGCCCAAAGGGCGATGAGAAGTATCTTGGCATGGTATATTATTCATTCAAACAAACAGTACTGTTCTTCTTACTGCTGCCGGTTTGTCGGCATTTTGTCTTATGCCTATTTTTGTTGTTGTTCAGGTTAACATGATTGGTACACACTTTGAGGAGAACCACATTGCCACTGGATTTGGGAACCATATGGCAATCCCAATACTTCGTGGTGAATGGCGCGAGGACATGACTTTTGAAGAAGCCGTTAAGCTGATTGAGAAGTGCTTGCTGGTCCTGCTGTACCGTGACCGGTCATCCATCAACAAATTCCAGGTTACAACTTGTTACTCTTAGTGAACTCACTGTCGCCTAGAAGAAAGTTTGGCAGATTACAGTCTGCAGCTACTGAATTGTTGTAACATTATACTTTTGCATGACAGATTGCCAAGATCACGACCGAGGGATCAACCATCTACCCGCCGTATGCTCTGAAGACCAACTGGGGGTTTGCCGCCTTTGAGAACCCGTCCAAGGGTGCTGTAGGAACATGGTAGGCCATGAGCTTGGAAACGAAGCAAACTGTGCTGCTGAAACAGTTTCAGCCCTTGTGAGCGTTTGATCCGAATATGACTGAAGTCCACATTTGCTCTGTATGACATGTTTATAATTTGACTTAAAAGTCTTTGTGAACGTTTAAGGTTGATCTTGTCTTGTATGATGATGCCTCTTCACTCTAGGTCAATCTGGAGTGGCCGAGGGTGCCTGCTCACCGTGCTCCCTTCGACTTGTTTTGGCTGCCCTTTCATAGTCGAAACCTGTTATTTTTCTCTTTAAAATAATTTGTTCACGTCACTTGTCGGTCGTTGGCTTGTTGCATCGTTCACCAAAGATCACCATGGTGGCAGAAGTAATGATTCATGACGGCATCTACAAACTAGAGCAAGAACCAGGCTCCCTCGACAGTTGCAACAAAAGATACACCATTGCCTCCCTAATCATGATTATCTCCTTGGAAATTTGGAACATGCGTGGTGTTCTCTTCTGAGTAACATCTACCGTCAAATTGGATCATCCTTAGCCGTCTGTCATGGAAAACAGAAAGGGATGCTGAAAATTGGAATCACAACAGAACTTGCTACTCAAAACGGAGAGTGAGAATTTCAGAGAAGGCATGGACATCACCACCCAGGGTTGTTGTTCCACTATTTTTCTTCTTCCACACAGGGAAACTGTCTGGTGTTAAAAAAATTGCCGTTGTTCAAAGGGTATATGCGCGTTTATATGAGCGTCTGCAATTGTACTATGTTAAGAAAAAAAAAAATGCCGTTGTTCTCAACAAATGGATAACAACTAAGCGTCTATGATCCTCGTTGATCTCTTTACCTCCCAACTCTATTGCACCTTCCATTACATGAGAGTAGAGCCTCTTGAGCCGCGGCACCCGGTAGCCTCCAGTGACGGCTACCAGCCGTTCGAGCGTGTTGTCATTGGAAGGCATGGCAGCATCTTCGCCATAGTCAGTCACCATGGGTTTGGGAGGAGAACCAGGTATTGAGAGGGCTTCAGCGAGCAACTGGTGCTTTGTTAGCGTCTTTCAAATGGCCATTTGAATCTGGACCTTTTGGAACTTCTTATGGGGAAGTTGGCTTTGAGAAATCTACATCACATGCCAAGGTAGAGCCAAAGTGTAAGGCTTTCATGTGGCTTTTCCTCCGTAGGAAAACCCTTACATATGGCGGACCGCCTCACCATCCGAAGGTGGCCACATGATGACATTTGCAAGCTTTGCCTCACCAGATACAAAACAAATGATCACCTCGCCCGCGAGTGCCTCTTCTCTCGTGGTGTTTGGGGCATCGTCTCATCTTGGCTATCAATACTTCATGGGTCGACACACAGGCTTTCCATTCTCGAAGAATGGTGGAACTCGAACATTAGCAACAAGGACACGACCTCGCGCAAGTGTTCGGCCAGGTGATCATGTATGTGTCGTGGAATGTTTGGAAGGAGGAAGATGGGCAGATGTTCAGCAATACTTCCCAATTCGTGTTTGACATTGCTTATCTCGCCATGGAGAGTAAAAAGCATAAAACCACCACAATTGTGGCCTCATTAGCAGTTGACACACCCTTAGAGAAAAAACATCCCATAGAACGCTAAACATTTTACATAATGCACTAAACAAAGTGCTTAACGCTCTTTAATGATGTGCCTGCGTGACACTTCTTTACCAATCCAACTCGACATGCAAGCCCACCAGTCCAAAACGTCATCATGGATTTCTTGTGCTCGACGGGAAGATATATTTGTCAAGGATTTCTTGGGCAACACGTCTCTGGGTGCAGCGTTTCACCTCCCGCTCTCCATGCAGGCATTCGAAGAGGTACACCATCTTTAGGGTCAGACTGCTTCGGTGCCTCTTAATTCTGACTTGTCGGCCCATGATGTGTGGACTTATATTTGGGGTGCAACATAATTCAAAACAAGAAGATATTACTTTTTTGTACATTAGAGAGATCCAGATTCATCAAGCTTATCTCTAGCTTTGGAGATCTAAGTGCACTATGGAAGTGAAGGTTTTTGGCTGGCTGCTACTCTTAGACAGACTCAACACAAGGAACGTGCTAAAAAGAAGGCACTACAACATCGGCGATGACACTGATTGCCTCCTCTGTGGAATGCATATTGAGAAAACCAGTGAGCATATGGTTTTTTCTTCTTGTCTTTTCAGTACTACTTGTTGGCCTAAATTAGGGATCACATAGCCTGTCCAAGGTTCTCGGCCTGATGGGTTGGTCGGAATAAAACTACTTGGGACTGGCCACTTTTCACAGAAATCTTCTTGGTTGTAGGTTGAAGCCTTTGGAAAGAAAGGAATAATAATCACTTTAGAGGTATCCCCCTAGCACATCTTCCTAGCTCAGAAGGTTGAAAAAATGACTTTTTACCTCCTTATGTATAGAGTTAAGGAGGCCCACAAGCCTTTTATTTCTAGCTTTGAATATCCCTCCACTAGTTCACTTTGTTCCATACTTTGATTAAACCTTTAGGTTTTTCCCCAGCCCAAAGTGGCTAGGTCCATGTGTATATGATGTACAACCATTGTTTTATTTAGTTGAAATATCAAGCTGGAAGGGACTTTCACTGTTTCGGGGTAAAAAAACAGATGGAGGTGCTCTCCTCGGACGACGAGGAGCAGCAGCAGCCACCCCTCCTCGTTGAGACTGTGTGGACGAACGAGGAGTATGCGTGACACATTGAGCTGCTACTCTATCGATCGTGCTTCGACCTCGGTCGTGCGCAGCCCTCGCCGATGCTCCCGCCCAGCCGCGACATTCAAATCAGACGTCGCATCAAGGAGGAGTTGCCATCCCTGTCGTGCATCAAGGTAGAGCTGTCATCCCCATCGTGCAGCCGTCTCTGCCACGACAAAGAGTTGGCCCCGCCATCATTGCCCTTCTGGTAGTCCGGGAGCTAGTGCACCTAGTTGCCGTCAAGAAGGAGGACCTGCCCTCCTTGGCGATCGTCGAGGCAAACGACCACCTAGCCTACTATTGGGGAACGTAGCATGCAATTTCAAAAAAATTCCTACGCCCACGCAAGATCTATCTAGGAGATGCATAGAAACGAGAGGGGGAGAGTGTTTCCACGTACCCTCGTAGACCGAAAGCGGAAGCGTTTGACAACGTGGTTGATGTAGTCGAACTTCTTCTCGTTCTGACCGATCAAGCACCGAACGTACGACACCTCCAAGTTCTGCACACGTTCAGCTCGATGATGTCCCTCGATCTCTTGATCCAGCAAAGTGTCGAGGGAGAGTTTTGTCAGCACGACGGTGTGGTGACGGTGACGGTGAAGTGACCGCAGGGCTTCGCCTAAGCACTACGAAGATATGACCGGAGGCGTAAACTGTGGAGGGGGCGCCGCACATGGCTAACAATTGTTGGTGTGTGTTCTAGCGGTGCCCCCCTTCATATATATAGGTTAGAGGGGAGGAGAGGCAGCCAAGGGGGCGCCCCGAGTAGGAGGAATACTACTTGGGGTCCTCCCAATTCGACCTCCCCCCTTTCCTATTCCTATTCGGAGTAGGAAGGGAAGAGGGGGAAGGGGGAATCCTATTCCCTTTTTTCCTTTCCTCCTTCCCCTTTTCTACTCCAATTTGGCCAGCCCATATGGGAAGGGTGCACCAGCCCCTTAGGGGTTGGTCTGTCCCCCTCTTGGCCCATTAAGGCCCATGTAGTTGCCCGGGGGATGCCCGGAACCCCTTCCGGTGCCCCGATATGCACCCGGTACCCCCGGATCACTTCCGATGTACGAATATCATCGTCCAATATATGAATCTTTACCTCTCGACTATTCCGAGACTCCTCGTCATGTTCGTGATCTCATCCGGGACTCTGAACAACATTCAGTCACCAAATCACATAACTCATATAATACAAAATCATCATCGAATGTTAAGCGTGCGGACCCTACGGGTTCGAGAACTATGTAGACATGACCGAAACACCTCTCCGGTCAATAATCAACAGCGAAACCTAATGCTCATATTGGTTCCCACATATTCTACGAAGATCTTTATCAGTTGTACTGTAATGACAACATACATTATTCCCTTTGTCATCGGTATGTTACTTGCCTGAGATTCGATCGTCGGTATCTCCATACCTAGTTCAATCTCGTTACCGGCAAGTCTCTTTACTCATTCTGTAATGCATCATCCCGCAACTAACTCATTAGTCACATTGCTTGCAAGGCTTATTATGATGTGCATTACTAAGAGGGCCCAGAGATACCTCTCCGATACTCGGAGTGACAAATCCTAACCTCGACCTATGACAATGCAACAAACACCTTCGGAGATACCTGTAGAGCATCTTTATAATCACCCAGTTACGTTGTGATGTTTGATAGCACACAAGGTAGTCCTCCGGTAACCGGGAGTTGCATAATCTCATAGGCAAAGGAATATGTATATGACACAAAGAAAGCAATAGCAATAAAACTTAATCATCATTATGCTAAGCTAACGGATGGGTCTTGTCCATCACATCATTCTCCTAATGATGTGATCATGTTCATCGAATGACAACACATGTCTATTGTTGGGAAATGTAGCATGCAATTTCAAAAAATTTCCTACGATCACGCAAGATCTATCTAGGAGATGCATAGCAACGAGATGGGGAGAGTGTGTCCACGTACCCTCGTAGACCAAAAGCGGAAGCGTTAGGTTAACGCGGTTGATGTAGTTGAACATCTTCAAGATCCAACCAATCCAAGTACCGAATGTATGACACCTCCGTGTTCAGCACACGTTCAGCTCGATGACGTCCCTCGAGCTCTTGATCCAGTAGAGGGTCGAGGGAGAGTTCCGACAACACGACGGTGTGGTGACGGTGATGGTGATGCAATCCGCGAAGGGCTTCACCTAAGCACTATGACGCTATGACCGGAGGAGTAAACTGTGGAGGGGGGCACCGCACATGGCTAATAAACAACTGTTGTGTCTTTGGGGTGCCCCGGCCCACGTATATAAAGGAGGGGGGAGGAGGAGGCTGGCCCAAGGGGGGGCACGCCAAGAGGGGGGAGTCATAGTAGGACTCCGTTCCTAGTAGGATTCGCCCCCTTGTTGGGGAACGCAATATTTCAAAAAAAAATCCTACGATCACGCAAGATCTATCTAGGAGATGCATAGCAATGAGAAGGGAGAGTGTGTCTACGTACCCTCGTACACCGAAAGCGGAAGCGTTAAGAAACGCGGTTGATGTAGTCGAACATCTTCGCGATCCAACCGATCAAGTACTGAACGGACGACACCTCCACGATCTGCACATGTTCAGCTCGGTGACGTCCCTCGTACTCTTGATCCAATTGAGGCCGAGGGAGAGTTTCTTCAGCACGACGGCGTGTTGATGGTGATGATGAAGTTACCGACGCAGGGCTTCTCCTAAGCACTACGACGATATGATCGAGGTGTGTATCGATGGAGGGGGCACCACACACGGCTAAAACAATTGTCGACTTGTGTGTCTATGGGGTGTCCCCTCCCCCGTATATAAAGGAGGGGAGGAGGGGGCCGGCTGGCCCTCATGGTGCACCCCCAAGGGGGGGGGGGTTCCTACTCCTACTAGGAGTAGGTTTCCCCCTTTCCTAGTCCTAATAGGAGGGGGAAGGAAGGGGAAGAGGAGAAGAAGGAAAGGGGGGCTGGCCCCCCTCCCAATTCGGATTCGGCTTGGGGGCGCGCCCCCACCTCTTGGACGTCTCCTCTCTCTTCCACTAAAGCCCATGTAGGCCCATTAAGCCCCCGGGGGGTTCCGGTAACCCCCCGGTACTCCGGTATATGCCCGAACTCATCCGAAACCATTCCGGTGTCCAAACATAACCTTCCAATATATCAATCTTCATGTCTCGACCATTTCGGGACTTGATATGTCCATTTTGCATCATGCTTTTGTTGGGGAACGTTGCAGAAAACAAAAATTTTCCTACGGTTTCACCAAGATCCATCTAGGAGTTCATCTAGCAACGAGTGATTGGATTGCATCTACATACCTTTGTAGATCACGCGCGGAAGCGTTCGAAGAACGGGGATGAGGAAGGTGTACTCGACGTGATCCAAATCACCGGAGATCCTAGCGCCGAACGGACGGCACCTCCGCGTTCAACACACGTACGGTCAGCGTAACGTCTCCTCCTTCTTGATCCAGCAAGGGGAAAGGAGAGGTTGAGGAAGATGGCTCCAGCAGCAGCACGACGGTGTGGTGGTGATGGAGCTGCAGTACTACAGCAGGGCTTCGCCAAGCACTATGGAGGAGGAGGAGGTGTTGAAGAGGGAGAGGGAGGCACCAAAGGCCAAGGTAAGAAGTCACCCATCTCCCCACTATATATAGGAGGGCCAAGGGGGGGGGGCGCCAGCCCTAGGAGATCTAATCTCCTAGGGGGGTGCGGCCAAGGGGAGGAATCCCTCCTCCCCAAGGCACCTAGGAGGTGCCTTCCCCTCCTAGGACTCTTCCTTTAGGGTTTCCCCCACCCTAGGCGCAAGGGCCCTAGGGGGAAGTGGCGCCCCAGCCCACTTTGGGCTGGATCCCTTCCCACTTCAGCCCATGGGGCCCTCCGGGATAGGTGGCCCCACCCGGTGGACCCCCGGGACCCTTCCGGTGGTCCCGGTACAATACCGGTGACCCCGAAACTTGTCCCGATGGCCGAAATAGCACTTCCTATATATAATTCTTTACCTTCGGACCATTCCGGAACTCCTCATGACGTCCAGGATCTCATCCGGGACTCCGAACAACATTCGGGTTACTGCATATACATATCCCTACAACCCTAGCGTCACCGAACCTTAAGTGTGTAGACCATACGGGTTCGGGAGACATGTAGACATGACCGAGACGACTCTCTGGTCAATAACCAACAGCGGGATCTGGATACCCATGTTGGCTCCCACATGCTCCTCGATAATCTCATCGGATGAACCGTGATGTCGAGGATTCAAGCAACCCCGTATACAATTCCCTTTGTCAATCGGTATGTTACTTGCCCGAGATTCGATCGTCGGTATCCCAATACCTCGTTCAATCTCGTTACCGGCAAGTCACTTTACTCATACCGTAATGCATGATCCCGTGACCAGACACTTGGTCACTTTGAGCTCATTATGATGATGCATTACCGAGTGGGCCCAGTGATACCTCTCCTCATACGGAGTGACAAATCCCAGTCTTGATCCATGTCAACCCAACAGACACTTTCGGAGATACCCGTAGTATACCTTTATAGTCACCCAGTTACGTTGTGACGTTTGGTACACCCAAAGCACTCCTACGGTATCCGGGAGTTACACGATCTCATGGTCTAAGGAAAGGATACTTGACATTGGAAAACTCTAGCAAACGAACTATACGATCTTGTGCTATGTTTAGGATTGGGTCTTGTCCATCACATCATTCTCCTAATGATGTGATCTCGTTATCAATGACATCCAATGTCCATAGTCAGGAAACCATGACTATCTATTGATCAACGAGCTAGTCAACTAGAGGCTTACCAGGGACATGTTGGTGTCTATTATTCACACATGTATTACGATTTCCGGATAACACAATTATAGCATGAATAAAGACAATTATCATGAACAAGGAAATATAATAATAATGCTTTTATTATTGCCTCTAGGGCATATTTCCAACAGTCTCCCACTTGCACTAGAGTCAATAATCTAGTTACATTGTGATGAATCGAACACCCATGGAATTCTGGTGTTGATCATGTTTTGCTCTAGGGAGAGGTTTAGTCAACGGATCTGCTACATTCAGGTCCGTGTGTACTTTACAAATATCTATGTCTCCATCTTGAACATTTTCACGAATGGAGTTGAAGCGACGCTTGATGTGCCTTGTCTTCTTGTGAAACCTGGGCTCCTTGGCAAGAGCAATAGCTCCAGTGTTGTCACAGAAGAGCTTGATCGGCCCCGACGCATTGGGTATGACTCCTAGGTTGGTGATGAACTCCTTCACCCAAATTGCTTCATGTGCTGCCTCTGAGGCTGCCATGTACTCCGC